ATTTTCCCGGTTGGGAAGCGCCCTTGCTTTCCTTGCCTTTGCCCCCTTTGCCGCCGCGAGCTGTACGCTCGCCTTTGTCCCCTTTGCCGTCGCGAAGTGGGAAGCCCCTGCCGCCTCCCTTGGGATTGCCCTTATTGCCGCGTAGACCCTTCCAGGAGTCAGCGGGCTCGAGAAAGCGCTTGTGAATGAAAGCTCTCGGGGCAAGCAAAGAACTCATATCTGACCGGACCTCGGAGAGTTCGTGAAGGGCATCATCCAGCTTCCAATTGTGCAAGTTCACAAGCTCGGATATGAGTTCCCAACACCTTTTATCCGCCGATTGTGCCTCCATGACTGTAGGGCCCCGCAAGTTGGAGGATGCCTCGTACTTCGTGAAGCACAAGCGGAGAAACTTCTTGTTGTAGAGCTTGAGTGACCCCAAGTGAGCCCCCCGACACAAAGCGATAGAGTTTGCTGCTAGTGTCAGCAGCTGACTAATGAGGCCAAAAGAAGCGGGCCCTTCATGTATTTCGCGAGCGGGAGCTTCATCAAGTAAAAGTTCGCTCAACTCCGAAAAGCGGGCTTGCTTGCGGGGCCTCATCATCAAGCTATCTTCTTGCGATTTGCTGCTTAAGCGAAATTTCCATGGAAGCCATCGGAGCTCCTTATCAGTGATCATTTTGTTTGTAAGTGCAAGCAAGCGGGCGCTGGGAAACGACTCAGAGTCTAGGAGCTCTGTTGGGTAGTCATCCTCGAAGCGTTTGCGTAGTGCAGAAGTATTCTCGGGGCTCAACTTTGCCGGCCAACTCTCTTGCCAGGATGAGGACAGCAAAGCTGGGGGCCCACACGGCGATGCTGTTGTCGAGGCGCCGGGTGTTGATGAAGCGGTCGGAAAAGCTGAGCCTTCGAGTGAAGGAAGACCTTCTGCGAGCCTGCATTTACTGCAAAGTAATCGTAGGCCTGCGCGAGCAACAAGCTTCTCTGCGGGTGCCGAGATGGATGCTGTGTTTGTGAACTCATTGATGAGCTCGTCGAGCTCTGCTTGACTTGCACAAGCGCGTGCGAACAGGGCTCTGTTGAAAGCTCCAAGCAAGGTGGCTACCGCGGGCGGGATGGCACTTTCCGTGATCATCTGATTGAAGTCGCTCATGATGCCTGGCCGAAGACAACAGGAAGACGAAAAGCGAGGCATAAGAAGCTGAGGGCCGGGAGTCGTGAGGTACCTGAACAAAGTGTCTGTGAATAACATAAGCTGATGGGGGCCTCGTGCCTGGGAGGTTGCGCCTGTAGACTAGCGGGAGCTATGAGCCCAGCGGGAGCTAGTAGAGCCAAGCGGGCCAAGCGCGGGGTGGGATATGCATTGCTGAAGTGAGCATGCTGCCGAATCCGCGGGATGCATGAGCATGCGGCTCATTGATCTTTTTAAGCGGAGAAGCGGAAGTGAAGCTCGAGCGAAAGTTATTTGTCAGCACCTAGTGCTGAGCCCCAGCGGGGAGACGAAGCGACGAGCTTTGTCGCCCAAAAGCGGGGCGATTCCATCCCGCAAGCGGGACTCATTGGCGCCATTGGCCCTGATTCCAGCCCTCATTCCAGGAGCCGCCCCACTGTTCATCCCAGCTCCAAGCGGGCTGCTCTTGCCAGCCGCCGTGTTCCCAAGCTTCGGTGCTGTAAGCTGGGGTCTGTTGGGCCGAGCGCCCTTCTGCTCGCTTGCAATCTCTGCACCGATGCCGGGGATGATAAGAAGCGGTGCGATCTGAAAAGGTCGCCTGGCAAAAGCCATTTCCACATTGTTCGCAAATCTTCCTGCATGCCCATAATTGAACTAAGCAGAGAAGTGGGCGGCCTTCTGAATCATTTATTGTGTGCCCCACCCTGAAAGGGGGGGCTTCTGAGGCCAAAGCGGGTGCCCTTTCGGGGGCCCCGGGATGGGTGGCTTGCTCGGGTATGGGCTGGGAAGGGGCCGGGTCTGCGGGCACCGGGTCGTCGACGAATATCTGTGGTGGAGGTGCCTTGGCAGAAGCCTGAGTGGTGGGGTTTGCTACTGGGGGGTCTTTTGGCACGGCCTTGGGGGGCGGGGTCGAAGCAGCCGGGGTTGCTGTGGGTGGAATGTGCCCCGGAGGCGGGTTGGCCTTTGCAGCGGTTGGATTGTTTGCCGGTGCGGCTGTTGACCGGGCTGGTGGTGTCTTCACATCCGGTGGAGGTTTTTGCCCGCGATTGGCTGCCTTGGCAACCTCCGGCATAGGCCGGGATGTGGGCTGTGCAGCTGTGGCCCCAGAAGCGGGCAAAGTCGGCTCATTGTACTCTTCGGAAGCGATGTGCTCCCCCATTGGATCCACGGGAGGTGTGGGGATTGTCGGGCCACTGCTGCCTGCGCTCCCCTGATGGGCAACCGCTGGTGCTGGGGTGTTGGTCTCCGCAGTTTGCTGGCGGCCCCGGGCATCCATAGAGCGGAGCACTTTGAGCTTCTCGTCCAGGGGGAGAGCCTCAAATGCTTCGACCAAGCTAGAGCCTCCTTCAGTGAGCTTCTCCATCACCCAAGCTGGAAGAAATGCGGATTTCGAGTACATAAAAGCGGGGCTCGAGCTGAGAGAATGCACGCATGCAGGGTTTAAGCACAAGCGGGCTAAGACAATACGAAGCATGGATCAGCGGTGACTTGAGCGTACGGCACTGCGGCCATTTCAGCACTCCTCATTGACTTGCTGCGGGAGTCGAAGCTAAAAGGCAAGCTTTGCGCTTGCACAAGCGAGCGTCTCCGGGAATCTCGGAGGCCGGAGAAAAATCTGTAATGCAACCGCAAGCGGGGTGGCAGCGTATTTCACATGATGGCGATTGACAAGCTGAGCAAACCACACGGGAGCCGGGGTGTGAGATGCATGCGTGTGCCACCCCCGAGGTGCTGACTAGAAAGCGGAAGGACCCGCACTCCTGAGAAGGGGGCGCCGCGGCCTTTGGCCAGCCCTTAGGCTGGGGTGCCTCCTTGGGCTCAGCCGCTGAATGCCATGTGGGTTCGGCCTCCGCAAGGACCGAAGTTGCTGAAGCGCTTTGCTGCGTGCCCGGCTCGTCGCCATCAGAGTCCATAAAGGGGTCGACCTGCGCACGCCATTGAGTGCAAGCGGGAAGCTTGGGTTCCGCACCAAGCTCTGCTTCTGAAGCCAAGCGAGCTTCCCGAAGGTCTTCATCTTTGGCCTCCCTTGTCAGAAAGTCAGCAGCATCATCCTCAAGAGTAAAGCAACGAAGCTGAGGGGAGCATGCAGACCAAGATGTACCTGATAACTCAAGTGGCGGCTCTGAAAGCGGGCATTGCCCTCCACGGTGTTGGGGCCTGACCGGACGGAAGCCACTATGGACTGCTCGCCAGAGTAGCACCTGTGCTTTCAGAGCAGGCCACACATCGTCCCGACTATAGAGCTGGGCTGAGCCGGGCGGTTTGTGATGGCCTTGCAGAAAGCGTGCGGGAAGTGGCAGGGATAGTTGTGCCATCCATGATAAGTAAGTTGTCTTCAGACTGTGTAGGGTATACGTCCTAGCTTGTGCAGCGGGTATGCCTGACTTCACCATGTAGCTCCGAAGTTGGCAAAGTGTCTGAGAATATGAAGCTGGCATGAAGGCATTCTCGTTCCAGAAGAAAAACAAACAGTCCGGGACTGTCTGGGGGCCAAAGCGACGTTTGAGCGAGAACCAGATGCTATCCAGTGCCGCAATCCAGCGCGGGAGCCATGTCATGCCTGGTTTGTCAGAGCAGGAAATGGGGCCAAAGCTAACCAGGCCCCAAGGCGCGCCGCTCCGGGTTGTCTTAGTTCTGAAGCAGATACCTCTCAA